GGTATATGCTGTAACACTGTGGCATGTATTTCTCATCAAGTATCCGAAACTTCCCTTATGCAGCCCTGCAAAACTTTAGGTAGAATATCTTCTACTCTGCAGATGACACACTAAAGGAGCATGTTTCTACCAAGTAACACGAAGCCTCTTACCAGTAGTACTCAGGGCTTTTGCCAAGCAATTACAAACATTCCTGGCTCTCAACAGCCACTGCTCAGAGTTGGACAAAACCTCAGGTTTTTGTTTGTTTGTTCCACATCACCAGCTTTATGGAACCACAAAGTATCAGGAAGATGGTAGTTATTTTGGTTCTAATTCATCTAATGAAAGCCCCTGTGTTATACATAAATACCAGAAAGGGGACAAAACAGGCAGGACGGAGTCCTACTAAAACTGCATTTTGCTTTAGTAAGTAGCGATTAACAATTAGTAGATGCAAGATTCATTCGAAGTGTCATTTCATTGTTAAATTCCAAAACTGCAGTATTCTACTTCAGCCTCACACAACGCTCCTAATGCTGTTTACAGCTTTAGGCGTTGAACAGTAACATCTCAACTCTTCTGAGAGGACAAGATACCCAAAATCAGAGGTAATTCTGTAAAACCCGACCTTTACACACAAAAGCTGAAAGTATAATGTTGTTCTGTCACAAAGTCAGATATTAGGAAGAGCTAACATTAAAATGTCTATGTCATGCTTTAACCAAATGCTGTGTACATTATGACACTGCTAGTTGACATCTAAAAATTAAGTAATCAGATACAGTCTTTTGGTTCCAATAAAGAAATTCATATGGAAGAGAGCCCTTTCTACTGGCTAATCTGCTTAATCTGATCCAGTTACAGGAGGGGTCCTGCCGGACATGCAAACAGAGATAGCTAATACACACACAACCAGATTACAGTAACTTTACACATTTTTCAGCTTCTACCATATCAAACTCTGAAAGAGTTTAGAGTTCTTGTGCAAAACTTTGGTTTAGCAGTTTGAATGTGAACTGACAGATGCCCAGAAAACAGACCAGAAGCCCCATCTTCTGTAACTGTATTAATTCCACCTGCAGAAAACACATCAAACTAAAGCCATCAGAAGCATGGAACAGCTCTACAACACAGGCAAAACAAGTAACAACTGTAGACCATAGGCGCCACAAGCATGGTAGGAAAAGAGTGATATACTGGCAACAGCTGACATGACCATTGGCTGCATAGCAGAGAAATGAATTGTACTTTTAACTTTGGAGAGGATGCTGTCTAATTATTATAGGCAGATACGCTAAGCATATGTACAAATACATGCAGACTGAAAAGATGAACAGGTTTCCATATGCCATATGAAACACAAGATTCTAATCCAAGCTCACAAAACTCTATTTTGCCTGCTTGTAGAGATGTACTGCAGACCACAAAACACAAAAGAACAATATAAGCTGTTACTTCAATATCGCTATGCAATGCACAGAAGTAAAAACTCATTACATTACAAGCAGGTTTTTTTACAAGAGGGTATGTAACTCAAGAACTTAAAGTAAATAAATAAACCTTAAATTACAGCAAGCTGTACAAGAGAGTAGCTACTTTAAGGGAGCATCTTTTACAGTTAATATAGAAGTGGAGGAAAACACTCGACTTTTCAGGTTGGCTCAAGTTTCATAAAACATCACTGTGTCATATACATCATTATGTTGGTTCTTTAAATCTTTGCAAACAGCAACCCAGAAATAGCACAGCTTTGACAGAAACCAGGCATAGGAGAGTATCAAGGTGGTATTTCCAAAAATATCACTGGACATCTAGACAAACATTTAGACATCTAAACAACTTTGTCCAACCCCTAACCCATCAATTCACTAGCTACTTCTAGAGGCTGAGTAGTTAAACAAGAACAACAACTATTGTAAGACATCTTCCATTTTTTTTGTTATACATCCACCATGTGTATTTATATTCAATTACAGAATTTTCAAATGCTGTTTGTCTGCATTTTAATGAACTGCAATTTCTATTCAAATGCACGAGTTCTCATAAAAAGTGAGTCATTCACCACTTCCTGGCATAATAAGATAGAAACGAAACTGCTAAGTTATATGTGCTGAAGTAAAATGGGTACAAGTTTGTATAGCATCCTGCTTTATTAAAGGCCACGTCCATTACAAAACACATTCTAACAGTTACACAAACAAGTAAGAATGTACTTTTTAGTTTACTCCCTAAAGGCTTGAAGATAAATGAAGTTATAACTACTGATTTAAGTCATATTTGAAAAATAGGAACCGAAAGCTGCTGACTGAAGAAGAGAAGGCAGTATTAATGCCAGTCTTTTGGTTATCCAGTGTGCATGTGTTAATTATTTGTTTCAGAAAGTTATCATAAGCAATCACAGAAATCAAAAAATATTTCTATAAAATTATAAAATAATCGCAGTAGTTTGGACCATACAACTTCTATAAGTCCCATCCAACCAACGTCCTCTGATCTTACAAAAATCTGAACAAAGTTTATTCTGTAATTCATCTGCTACATGTAAATAAAGTAACTTCTTAATTTTCTCAAATAATTTCTATACACATACACACATATGATGTATATTTATATTACACATGTATGTCTTCAAAAACACTCCCAAAAGGTGAAGACAACTCAATAGTGGTAAATACCAAATATAAAGCAACTTAGATTCTAAAAAGTTAAAGCATTTTCTCTGATTACTATTAGTCACAGGTAAACCCAAAGAAGAAAGTCACAAAGATACAGCTGTTACAAAACTTGTAATATAAGCTATAAGTTTGGAAGAAAAAACCCAACGAAAAACACACAGAAGAAAAAAACAGTAGAAACAAAGAACAACACAAAGGAATTATTCAGATGGATCATGAACAGATAAATTCAAAATAATTACTGGCTTCATGCTAGACACGACTGCATAAATATTAAGTAATGCTAAAGAAAAGTGGTATTTTTGTTCTGCTTTCAAAAAAAGCAGAATGACCATTTCTTACAATCATAAAGGAAATATTTCCTATTCCATTAGCAATAAGAAAAATAAGATACAGCAAGTGTTATTAATCATATGATGTCATCAAATGTGGAGAACCTAATCCAGCTTGCTTCTTAAAGTCAGCCTGAAGCCCATGGGCAAGTAATACTTGGGTGCTTGCCATTTATTAAAAATCTAACAACTTCAAAATTAACATTATCTAAACAAAGCTTAAAGGAGAAACTGAAGAGAACAGTCCATCAAGAATGACAGCAAGACTTCCCTGCTTAAGCTGCTACAGATTTGTATCTTTAGGATCACATTTAAATATATTAGGGTTGGTCTTCCTCATCATTTCGCTCTCTAAAAGAGCAAGCAAAATGTTTGGCAATATACAGCATCAGTCATGCACTGACCCTTTCAGATTACTGACAACTGCTGAGTGCATATAAAGTCTGACACGTTCTGTAAGGTAAAGTATATCAACACTCCTTTGCACGTAAGGAGAGAACCTTAACAGTTTTAAGCTGTGATAACGCAAATCAAAATGAAATCAAATCTTGTGCTAAGGAGAGTATAGAATCAAAATGGTAAATAAATGAAGTAGATCTTTTATTAGTCAAATTACTCTCAGTAGACATAAAGAAGAGCTGTCACTTCAACAAGGCATAATAAGAACGTGTGTTAAGAGTTTAGCTTGCACAGTTAGTACTAAAAGAGCAACCTGGACTCTTTCATTAAAGCTGCTGCAGAACTCTTACTAGGAATAACAGAAAGAGTACCAATATATGTATATTTTTTAAATTATCTTTTTAAGTGAAGGCATCTAAATAGGTCTGAACTAATTGTAAACTAGTCAAATTTAATCAGCGATCTATACACAGCTCAACTTCAGTGTAGCACACTTTCCCTTTCGCCCAACAAATTAATCATACCCATTTTTAGAGTTTGCTCTTGTGTCAGGGGAAAAAAAACAAACTATTAGTCATAGCTCATGTGAAGCATTTGTGTGTTTAGCTAACAAGATCCAGATTATCTGGTAGGTATTCCCCTCAACAATCCCAAAAGTCAGACTGAGGTAATAGCAATCTCATACTGCTCTGAAAACGTATTTTAAACCCTTTTATCTTCCATGACACAAAAAGCCTTCCAGTTAAGGCAGTCAATACGGCTAACTAAGAAAACAGACTGAAATACCATAACAAGTGATAAACAAAAAAGCTACCGAGCGCTACAAATTTTTTTTTTAAAATGCCCTTATTATTCTCTATTAATACCAGCTACTACAGGGAAGCTTAGTACTCACATTACACCAAGCAAAGCAATAGTTACACAAAGTAAGAGGAAACTACGTTTCTCTCTCCAGCACAGGAAAGTTATTGTTTTCTCAAAATGAGGACAAAAAAACCCAAACAAACCCAAAGTAAACACCGCTGTCTAGCCAACAATGGCAAGGCTAAGGAAAATCAAGCCCCTAGGACAATTCGGCTTACTAACTAGTCCATCATAAGAATGCACAATTCAAGGCAGTATGGTAAGGGGTTGGGGCTGGGTTTTTTTGATACCACCTCAAGTGATGCCAGAGAGCTCATCTAATAGGCAGCAGCAACTTCAAACAATCACTTCCACACGCCCAATTTTCTAAACTGCACCATCTTTGAAACAAAAATAGCCTCTCTTTTATTGCTAACTTTTAAAATAGTACACATAATTTAAAGTTTCGGTGATATAATGGAGCAGGTCTGATTTGATGACAAATAGTAATTTTAAGATACAGCTCTGGTTAACAAAGACTGCCAGTTATAAACCCATAATACCTCTACCTATAGATTCCATAAGATTTGTTTGAATTCGACTCCCATTTTTGTAGATCTTCTAAGAGATTATGAAGGAAGTGCTTTGTCAGTTTTACTAGACAAGAATGAAGAAACAGGAGAAGGCTTAAGTATAGTTGTAACTTAAATCAAATACCAGACTCATCAACAAAATACGGCAAGGTACTTCTGGTAGGTCATTTACTTACCTCCACTTGCTGATTCGTGCTCTTCCCCTTCAGGAAACGTAGCCTGGCTTGGTAAGCTATTCCTAGAACGAGTGACTGACTCTAAGTGTGAAGCCCTTCCCAACAGAGATAGCTCATCTAGCACCTCTCCTTCTTTGGCTTCCAAATCAGATTTTGAAGTAGTTAACTGTTTTATGTTACCTGGTGCCATTAAACTATTTGGATCATTTAAACAAGCTACAGTACCACTGTCCAGGCTTAATACTCTGGCACGATTCTTGGCACTGTTTGTGCTAGAAGTCCGACGTGTAGATCGCTTTTTGCTTATTCCTTCAGAGCTTACATGGGTTTTGTGAGCATTTTCAGAGTCTGTGCCCCCACGTTCTTTAGAAACGTATTTGGTCTTTAGAGCACTGTATTTTCCCTCAGGAGACTGGCATGAATGGGAGGTGGTGCTGGAAGAGCTATCACTGCTGAATTGGTGAGCTGACTGCATACTTGATGTCCTGCTCAAGTCACTTTGATCACTGGAGTCCTCATCATGACAAAACACAGCACTGTGAGGTTTAGTACCAGATACACCTCGGAAAGAAACATATTCCCTGTGCCGACTTGAATCAAAACTACTAGCCCGCTTTTTTCCTGTCCTTCTCCGGCTGGACTTGTGGGTAGAGGCTGTTCGGTGTATTAAACTAGAAGATTTTGGTCGAACATCTCCTTCTTTTTGTTTTCCACTTGTTTCTTTAGAAGCTCTCGAATCTACTAACACGACTAGTTTCTCACTTTGCTCATCTCTCTGTTCAGCAGCCTTCCCAGGTGGCCTGTCAGCTTGTGTAGTCAATTCATTGGCATGTGGGTTTTTATTGGCCTCTTCTGAAGCAGAGGCACCAAGACCTTTCTGACCGTGCATCTCATCAGATGCATTAGAACCCTTTACCTCTTGAACACCATTGTTAGTGCTCACTTCCACAGCAGTCCTTTCGCTACTAGTCCTTTTGTCAGTAGTAGAACTACTGTCATCCTCTGAGTCAACACCGCAGTCCTTTTTCTTACCATCCTTTTTCTCTTCTCTAGGAGACTCTTCCTCGTGCTCTGACAACACACTTTCTATATGCGTTGAGCTAGTATGTTCACTTTTATAGCTACTGATGGTACTGTTAGTGTCACGATCAGTCCCACTGCAGTAGCTTTCTGTTGAACCACTGCTTCTAGTACTCAGGCTTCTCAGACTGTCCACACTTTTGTCTGCTTTCAAGGATTTGTTCTTCCCACTCTTAGCCAATGGTCGAGGGCTGCTACTTTTCAGAATGTCATCTAATTGAAAAACTCCTGAAATGCAAGAGTTCTCAGCCAAGGACTCTCTGGATCCAGAAGGAGGCTTGGAAGCTTCTAACTCACTGACGGGATCTAGTCCTCGTCTTTGCTGATAGAGAGGGAAGTCATTTAGTGAAGCATCTGGAAAAGCAACAGCAGAGCTAGAAGTCCTTGGTACACCTCGTGGTCTATGATCCTTCCTATAGGAGTGAGAATGCAGAGTTACAAGTGAAGCTACTTCTGTGTCACATGCACTGGTTTTAGACTGGTCCACAAGCTGGTTGTTCAAGAGGCACACTTTGTCACTGTTGTCTCTTGGCAAATCCTGTCCAGAGGATAACGAAGGTTGGATGGAGACAAACGAGTCATTCGACACCAGACGAAAAAGCTTCCGATCAGTTGTCAAATCTGTTTAAGTACATATTTAAAAATATTCATGTAGAACATTCACATAAGTTGTACAAGCTACTTTACAACTGCTTGTTTATATCAGATAAAGTAAATAAACTGACAAATCCATTTGCAAGTGTTACACATCACATTACCATTTAAAAGATTTCCTAGCATCTGGGCAAACCTGATAGACTTTTTTTATGAAATGAAACCATCAACACCAGCTTAATCTTAGTAGCTAATAAAAGACAACACTGTTCTGACAATCCCCCAACCTCCTTTATCACTCATGTGTCTCAGACTTAATGTTTTTATGTATGCCAGAGTTTCTTAGTTATAAAAAGGTACCCTGCCTTTTGTTTTATTTCCTACACACAGTAAACTGTTTCACATGAACTTCAAAATTATTAAAGAAAACAGAGGAAATCCCCTTAACTTTGAAGTCACAAAAAATCCCAACAAAAATCACCTTTCCTACCAGATACTAAGCAAGCTCATAGTTAGCAAGGATACTGGCACAGGCCTATTGGTACTATAATGAAACTCCCTATGAAATAGCTGAGATTTACTACCTCTAAAACTGGTGCTGTCAAAGCAAATCATGAGGATTTGCTGTTAGCTCTTGGTCAGAGCAATCGTTTCTGTTATCCATCAGAAGCAGTCTCCTATAAAAGTGACCACCTGCAGGAACTATTGAAGGTCAGGCTCTTTCCTTTTTGGTACCGTCACTAAAAATAGTCGATATGGAGACAGTAAGTTACTACAATTGCTGAATTTTTGTAGCAAGTACTTCCACATGTGTCACTTGAGGGACTTCACAAACAGTTCTGTTACTCAGCTGAAAGTAGAACCCTGCTGCCTATTACAACAGCACGGCCACCTGTAATCCTCTATTTTAAATATACTTTCTCCACTGAATCACACAGTAACCACTGAAAGGAACCCATCAGTCTGATTAGATTAGCAAAAATGAACTAGAGTATTCCCAGAGTTACTTTCCTGCTAATCACCAGGTACTCTAAAATCAGCAAACAAAATACTTCCCTACAGTTTTATGCTCTGTTCTAGCCTGAGGAGATTTTTTTTCCTGGCAATGAAGCTAAATGAAAAATCAGATCTGAAACAAAACTGGGTAACTGAAGAACACAAACTAGCAGTTTTCTTACATACTAGGAAAAACAATTACAGAACTGTAATAGCTTGCACATTAGAAGCCGTTCTATAGCTCCAGAAACATAGAACTCTGCAGGATTATTTACTTCACAGAAAAGCACACCTGATTAAAAAAAAAAAAAAAAATCATTTGGCCATACCAGAAAGCAAAGCAAATTAGTATACAATGAAGTCCATTAATCCCAGGCCACTTTGAGTATGAGAGAGATTATCTACAGACATGTAAGCTAGCCATCTTTCAGCAGTAAGGAGACACTAAGTATTTATTACCTGCTGGAGGATGCCAGAACAAGAATCACACAGCCAAAGAATAAAGTTAAAAAGTATTCAAGTCACGCATCCCAGGAACTGACAGTAATCAGGCAAGGACACAGAGAGTATCAAGATACCCGTTCTTAGAGTCTATCAACAAATTGCATTAATATTTAGCATGTTAAGCGAAGGGGCTTTGGTAACAAAACACCATGTTTAATATGCAGAAGAAGAAATTTTACCTTGTTCTTCACTCCCTTCTTTACATAGGCTAGAACTCTGGCCAAGACTTAAACTGATATCGTCAGAGGTCTTGGCAGTGTCAGTGTCTCCTGTGAATTTTAAGAAAGAAGAGTACTAGTGCTCAAAGTACCAACACATACATCTCCATACACTGCAGATTTCATCTATCATGAAAGACTGCTGCTTTTATTTCTTCATTGGAAGGTAAATAACAATAATTAGAAGTAACACAAGATTTATCTTATCTTCTAGAGATAACTATTGCCTACTCTATTTCTTTTATTTTGCATATAAGAAAGTTTTCATTCAACTGCACAGATCTTCCTCGAAGAACTGGAAAAAAAAAATCTTACATAGAACCCAATGGAAATAAAGATTTATGTATTTGAATATTCCTTTTTGCATGGCTGCCAATAAAAACAAGGAGTAGATTGTAACAAAATACTTGTAAAGATAAAAAAGGTAAGGAAAAGTCAGGAAGGTGACCAAAATTCACATCTCATTTTCTTTTGTTTTATTACTGGCTTAATAAATTTACAGGATAGCAACTTGGCATATTACAAATAATTTATCTTTTCATCTCAGAGAACTTCACTAGGGCCGCTGTCCTGGACAATACTTTTGCCAGATGCCAACCAACTAGAAATAATCAACTCATTGAAATACAACACCAGAAGGGCAACTGGTTGCCCAGAATTCAAAACAGTAGGGAAAAGTCCACTCAAACCAAGCCCTTGGCTCTGCATTTACAAGCAAAAGAAAAACTTGTTGTTACATGAAAAACAGAGCACGAATTCCAGGATATTCTTTCCTAGTGTTTTAGGCACATAATTTGCAACTCCAAAGGAAGATTTCTTCCAATTAGTAAGTGTTGCTCCCAAAGCTCCCAAAAAAGCTTTGAAGATTAACAAGTTAGACAGTATTTGGAAATAACATATTTAACAATACTGATTTCAAGTACCACTGCAAGGTAATTTTAAGAAGGAGCCAAAAATCTCACCTTTGATGGTTGCTGCAGTTCCCAGACGAGATAACCCAGATCCAACCTAAAAAACAGTGAATTATGTAAAAAGCTGTAAACTTTCAAGAATTATCCAACTGTTGTTTCCCATTACTGCAAGGCATGCATTTGCCTATACATCTAGGAGAGATTTTTCAAAGGTACAAAAGCATCCAACAGCACAGTGTCGTAAAATCCTTTCTGACTCAGAATGTTTTCACTGCAAACAGAGATGACAAGGCATATCATTACTCATCCAACTATATCACTGCTTTATTCTATTTTATAGCCAATATACTTGGAGATTCTACTATGCTGATTTTAAAAGTAGTTTTTAATCTAGGAATTCTCCAAGGAGAATTAATGTGGAAACAAACTACTAGTGTGGTGGTGCCCTAGTAACTGCTCTTGTAAAGCTAAATGTTTAATGCAGTGATCACTGTTGCCCAAAATGCTTAAAGAAAACACTATGTTAATATAATCTGTTCAACACAGTAAACACCAAGCTAAATCCAGACACTTCTCCCACTGGAAAAGATACATATTTTTCCACAGAGTTAGCTTTCAGGTCTGTCAGAGTTGATCCAATAACCAAGTAACCACGAGAACCTTAAGCATTGGTACGTGGAAAGCAGCAGGAACATCAACAGGGAATATGGTAGGATGATCCCTGCTGGCAACTGAATAAACTTAAAACAATTTAAGCTAATCATTTTATTGTATCTTACTCCTCCCTCTCATTCCTGCAAATGCAATTCTTCTTTTGAAGACGGTTTTCGAGTACATAGATCACAGTTACCTCAAAGTAAGTAAACTGGTTAATGAAAAACTGTACAGTATTTCTTGATCTATTCTTAGATATTAGTTACAATCACATTCCAAATTTACAGTATCTGCTTTTCAGTCATATTCAACGGCCAACCAGCAGGCATGTACCTCCTCATATGAAAACTAGCTAGCCATCTAAGTTTGCAGTCTGCCTTTCTATGTATGTCCTGCAATCTGTAGCGCGTTATTTTGCAGAGGTGCTAAAGAGAACTAAGTCTTTCATACAATAATATCTCCAATACCACCTCTCTCAAAGAACTCCGAATAGCACATAAAAACGCATGTATCAAATAATTAAACCACTCAGAAATAAGACCGAAGAGCACTCGAAGGCAAAATCTGAACTCAAGATACATAAAAATGATGGCTGTTTGACTTTACTGTATACTTACTGGGATGCTGTTTTTCAAAAATCCCTAGGTCAAGAAAAGAGAGCACAATGGTACTAATTCTTCTCTGTAAGCACAGCAAATTTAAGGTAATTTGAAGACGTGTGCAGATTTTTTTTCAGCCATACTACAGAATAACAATGACTTTGCTACGTGTAATGCAAAAAAGCAGCCGGAACTTATCCAATGCGTTTCCTTTACTACACTGTCATGCACACTTTTAGTTAGTCACTTTGTCATGTTTCAACTTTTTTTTTTTTCTCTTCAGTAGCACGCCTTGCTGAATGCTGTAGCTGAACACAAATGTATCAGCATGGGAAAACTATTTCACACAAAAAAACTGAAGAGAACTCAGATGCTTACTGTTCACATACCCTTTTGATGCTGCAAATTCAAAAAGGACTAGTGAGCACTCATGTTATCAGCATAAACACATTTTAAACACTATACTTCCTTTCACAGTCGCTTTAACTGTGTTAAAGCGCCAGCGTTAAGGCACACAGGAAAGAACATAGAGCTTCTTCACATGCTTTAACATTAGAACTGTCATGAGTATGTTTGGAATAGTTTTTTTTCCAAAGATCAAAGAAATACAATCCCCAGCCTAGCTTTGTCTTCCTACATGGACTATCACTTCCTAGTCCTTTCAACACTACCAAATACCTTCTGTCTTCAAAGGAGGTAGGGAGGCCCTTCAGAGGGATTTGAA